GCTTCCACTCTTAGCAGGTGCAGACGTGTTTGAATTTAAAGAGGGAACTCCTGGATAGATGTGGCAGTTTATGGAGACTTTACTCTCTTCTTTCTTAATGTTTCCTTCTTCAGTTCTACTCAGGTGTAGCTGACAAATTGTAAATCATATGTAGAACAGAAGTGTAAATCTTGATGAATTCATGCAAGTATAGAAGGGCTAGAATTTCTCAAGGTATTCCAACATCCCAAAGACCCAAATTAGTGGGGACATTCTCAAAGTAATCTTGAGAAAAAACAAAGTAGGACACATGTCACTTCTTGACCTCAAACAATATTACAAAGCTATAGTGATTGAAACAGCATGGTACTGGCTTAAATGTAGACCTATAAATGAAAGAAACAGAACAGAGATCCCAGAAAAAACCCATGCATATATTGTCAATTGATTTTTTAAAAGAGAATTAAGTATATATAATTATATATAATGGGGGAAAGCATAGCATCTTCGGAAACGGTCTTGGTGGTCCAGTTGGCTGAGAATCACTGAGAAAGTTCTCTAAGCCTTCTGAGCACTGTGTGGAAGACTCACCATCACTCCCCTCAACAAAAGACAAAATTCATGCCCTCTACAAAATGGCCTGGGAAAACTGGAAAACTTCATGCTAATGAATGAAACTAGAATTCAGTTTGACACCACACACAGCGGTAGGGTGTTTGCCTTGTGCGCAGCCAGCCCAGTCGAGCCGGGTTCGATTCCTCCACCCCTCTCGGAGAGCCTGGCAAGCTACCGACAGTATCTTGCCCGCACAGCAAAGCCTGGCAAGCTACCCGTGATGTATTCAATATGCCAAACACAGTAACAAGAAGTCTCACAATGGAGACATTAGTGGGCCCACTCGAGCAAATCGATGAACAATGGGAGGACAGTGCTACAGTGCTACCACACACAAAATTAAATTGCAGTGACATGTGTGTAGCTTTTGAATAGTAAACAAGAGGCTTGAGAGCTTGTCTTTGTGTGTTAATGTTGAGTTCAGATCTAAAAACTTTGTCCAATAAAAAAATTCAAGGGAAAAAGAATGTACTGTTTAATAGAGAGCAAAGAGATAAGTATTGACAGGGGAGAATGTGTTTACAAATGAAAGACAGAAACGTAAAAATGAAGAAAGAAAGTCAATAAATTGAACGATGAACAACTGGGGCTGCAGAGGGTAAAAATACTGAGAACTGATGAGGTAGAAAAGAAGATGTTAGGGGCTGAAGCGATAGCACAGCGGGTAGGGCGTTTGCCTTGCACACAGCCAACATGACCGACACAGGTTCGATTCCCAGCATCCCATATGGTCCCCCGAGCACCGCCAGGAGCAATTCCTGAGTGCATGAGCCAGGAGTAACCCCTGAGCATAGCCGGGTGTGACCCAAAAAGAAAAAAAAATGTTAAAGCTGTAGGAGCAGTCATTCCGGAGCAAATACATAAATATTATGCAGACATTGATAATATTAAATAACTCAGTCAAAGCTGGCCAGGAAGGATTTTCATTCAGGGACCATGCCATGATGAATGAGGCAAAGGAAGGGAAAGCCAGCCATTCCTCATCTGCATGAAAGTGTTTGACCTTCTGCAGAAATGTTACCTTTTCATTCAACGACTCTGACTGTGTTGTCCTGGGAAAGTCTCTGGACTGAGCAATCTTGGTATTTGTGCCTTGTGGGTTCTGTGTGTGAAAGAAATCCCCAGAAACAATAAAGGGGGAAGCATTTAATAGCTTATATAGAGTGAAAAGACAGGTTGAAATGTTTATAACCACACTGAACATTTTGAAATGTTTTCAAATAGTGAAGAAGGTGTATGATCAGGTACCTTCTTATGGGTGCAGGCAGACTTCTACATGAAGTCGCTCAGAATGAAAGAAAGAAAAGGACAGATACAGAATGGTCTTTCACCTATGTGGAACTTTGAGATACATAGCAAGGTAGCAACAAAGGGACAAGGGCAATATAATGTGAGAAGTGATCCACACATTTGAGTTGGGAGGGAGTGGCATGGGAGGGAGGGGTCTTCGGCACCTTTGGGAAAGGGAGATGGGTACAATAGTGATGGGTGTGGTGCTAGAATTAAGTGTGTGACTAACAGCATTGTAAACCACAGAATCACAATAAAAAATTTAAAAAATAAAGTAAAGTAAAAGTAAAGTAAGTAAAGGCCCTCCCGTTGATCGTCGATTTGCTCGAGTGGGCCCAGTAACGTCTCCATTGGAGACTTTGTCGTTACTGTGTCTGGCATATCGAATACTCTCAGTAGCTTGCCGGGCTCTCCGAGAGGGGCGGAGGAATCGAACTCGGGTCGGCCATGTTGGCCGTGTGTAAGGCAAACGCCCTACCCGCTGTGCTATAATATACCTCTTTAAGTAAGTTAGCTAGATTGAGATCAGGTACTTGGTGGTGATCAAGCCATTTTATAACTCCAAACCAAATTTCTTTATTATTATTATTATTATTATTATTATTATTCCTGTAAGATACTGTTATAAAGCTTTCCTGTTTGAGTTTTCCTCATACAATGATTGATCACCCAACCCTTCACCAGTACACATCTCTCACCACCAAGGTCCCCAGTATCCCTCCTATCTTACCCCTCCCCCTGCCTCTATGGCAGACAATCTCCCCTGTACTCTCTTTTGTATTGCTTCAAACCAAATTTCTTTTTTTTTTAATTGAATCACTGTGAGATACAGTTACAAGCTTTTATGTCTGAGTTACAATCATACAATGTTCAAAAACCCATCCCTCCACCAGTGCACATTTCCCACCACCAGTCTCCCCAGTGTACCCCCCTCCATTTCCCACCCTCCCCTGCCTCCCTGGCAGACAATGTCCCCCATACTCTCTCTCTACTTTTAGGCATTAGGCAAACAAAATTTCTGATACAGTCTATGAAGGGTCTTATGCCAGTCAACTCAACTTTATTTTTTTTTTAAGAGTTGCTTCATTCTTGTCCACTTTCTCCGGAATTAGGCTGAGATCCCATTAATTGATAGAGGGAGCAGACTTGTTAATAACATGAAATATACGTGTTTGAAGACTCCTCATGTTGCCTTGAAACAGCCATCTGTGTGGAGTAGCAGAGCCAAGGGCCGAGGCGGCCTGACTAGCCCAGTCTTTTTTTCTTTTTATTTCTCCCACTAAGAAATCAGATCAATGTATGGTTGATACAGTTAAGTGTCACATAATCAATTGAAAAATTAAGGCAAAAGGGGAAAAAATACCTTGTTGATTGTGCTGTAGCAATGTGGTCTCATTATGTAGATGTGGTCTCAGTCTACAAGAGTAAATGAAGTGAAAAGTGAAGAGGAAAATTGAGGTAATTTCTTGAATTATTCAAGGAAAAAATCCCCTTGCCTCAATTATTCATATGGTACTTTTCTTTGAAAGGGAGGAGAGTGGGAGAGAAAGGGAGAGAGAAAAGAAAGCAAGCTTGATTGCTTTAATTCTCCACTTCATTTTGTAGATTAAGGCACCTCTATAGACCGTATTACTCATCCCTGAGCACTGCAGTTTATTTCTTGACAAAATATTTCTTTGCCATTGTGTTTATGCAGATTTAGCCACCCTTCCTTTTTCTCTAGTTAAATAGTGAGAACCTGAACTGACACTATTCTTTCTTCCCATAAATAGGGTGCCTATAAAAAGACTAATTTCCCAGTAATCCAACTTATTCCAAACATTCCACCCACCAGGCAGTGAGCTGGGGAAAATGAGAATTCTGCCTGAAGAAGTAAGTCATAATTATCATCAAACTATCTATCCCACCTCCATGTCTTTGGTGGTGGGAAGTACCAGTGTTTGACTCGGGAATAAAAGTTTGGGTACAAAAGACATGCATGTTCCCGAAGTTTACCTGCTGGGTACCAATTGTGGTATAGAAAGGAAATATAAAAAACTAAATATGCACCCACAGAGCAATTTATATATGTATTCTCTGTGTAATATACACCATGGTTACCAGTAATACTGCAGGATACAATAAGTTGTGTATATATTAGAGTAGATTTATGACACAACCTTTACTTGTTCTAACAAAATTAGAATTTGTGGCAACTTTTCATATGATAGAAAGTAAAGTAAAGGTAAAGGTAAAGGCCCTCCCGATTTGCTCGAGCGGGCCCAGTAACGTCTCCATTGGAGACTTTGTTGCTACTGTGTCTGGCATATCGAATACTCTCGGTAGCTTGCTGGGCTCAGAAAGTAAAGTATCTTGAGGGAAAAGTATTGTTTTCTAATTCACGTAAAGTCAGAGTGTGGGCTAATGGCGACTCTGGTTGCCAATTATCTTAAGATTTACATAATTTGAAGATCTAGAGAGAGCAGTGAAAATAATTAGTTTGGGAAATCAATCTTAGGCAGAGATACAGATGGAATTGGGTCACAGGACCAAGAAGGAGTCTGTTAAGAAGAGAATTAATCTGATCATTCACAAACAAGGGTGGAGTTTGTAGCACCGATTGGTGACTCTTCTTGCTGCCTATCGAAGGGGGTCAGAACAGGATTTCATGAAATGTCCTTAGACTTTTCCTGGGGTTCACTGGGGTTTGCTATGAAAAAGTCCCAATGTTCCAACAGTGTCATCATTAAGTAGGTTATTCCAAGTGGAGGAATATCTGCTATTGGTGTCTAGATGTTTTCTGAGAAAGCTGGGGGAAAGTTCAGTGATCATGATCACAACATGTGTTTGTGAGTCCAGACACTTTGCAGCTGACTCTCTCTGTAGCAGTACACTGCACTGTCCTCCCATTGTTCATCCATTTGCTCGAGTGGGCCCAGTAACGTCTCCATTGTGAGACTTGTTGTTATTGTGTTTGGCGTATCGGATACATCATGGGGAGCTTGCCAGGCTTTGACGTGTGGGTGAGATACTCTTGGTAGCTTGCCAGGCTTTCCGAGAGGGTTGGAGGAATCGAACCTGGGTCCGCCCGCTCAGCAGCGTGTAAGGCAAATGCCCTACCTGCTGTGCTATCGCTGGCTCGCTTCGGCAGCACATATACTAAAATTGGAACAATACAGAGAAGATTAGCATGGCCCTTGCACAAGGATGCTGACTTTCTCTAGTTCATAAAAATGTATTTCTCTACTGCATGGTAGTCTCTGGGCTACCCCTGATGATTCATAGCCTGCTAGCAATGCATACATACCCTGAATCAAAACCTTCGTTGAGTGGAGCCCAGATCCCTACACAGACACACGCACACATACACACACATACACACATACACATTATATGTACATGTTTGAGAACTGCTAAATTAAATTACTAAAACTGAACAATTTGGTGACATGTTTCAAATATTATAAATGTTTATATGATCAGAATTTTGCATATCACACCCAAAATGTGATATGCATCATTATATTATTCTATTCATTATTACTGCATTGAAATAACAATGTGACAAATGATGGTGTTATGAATTTGAATAACTTTTATTGTAGTAACCAATTTTTGTGCAGATCTTACGTGAGCATTACTTTGTGTCTTTTTTTAAAACTTAGACAATTAAGAAACCTAATAAAGATGTGTTCTAACACCTTGATAACTTGATAAATAAGTCTTATTCTCATGTGGAACTGTTCTGCAAGACTTGTTTCTTTTCTTTTTTCTATGTCGACAAATGCATTTTCTGTGTATCTGGGAAAGGAAGAAATCAAGGAATTAGATTTGTCTATTTGTCGTTGAATGAGACATACTAAGGCCTGGCAGGTGGCACATAGCTAATTAAAAATCCTGATTTTGCACTTGTGGTAATATTAAAATAGTGGAGCAAAATAATGTTATAAAATGGAATAAAATAAGGGAATTTATGTCAATCAATAGCTGAGAATGAAGCTGCTTGTTCTCGTGCACACATATGTTCTGTCTCTCTCTTCCTTTACTATCTATAATAGAATTCAACAGTGATCCACCAGTGGGCAGTTTTTGTCTGAAGGAGGAGGAGGACAGAGTCTGTCACAAGAGCATTATTAAAGGGGATCTCCGTCAACTCTGCAGCTGTAGAGTTTTGAAATTCTATGGGCTGTTTTCTTTGTGTGACTCTTCCTTCAGTCCTGTGCAGGCCCACCATAGTTTCAGGCATTGGAACTGTGCTTCTTTTATGATGCTGCATAGGTACAGGGCAGAGATGGCTTGGGTAATGCATTAAATTAATCCTTGAACTCTTGGCAACTAATTAAATTCTGACACAACAAGTGTTTCAATTGTGGTTAGCAAAACCGATTGTACAAGGTCTTTCTAAAGGATTCTCTGGCTTCCTGATCTCTGTGAACACCTACACACACTCTGGTGGGCTGGTGAAGGGAGAATCATGAAGTTATTGCCAAGAGTCTATGAACCAAAAAGTTCTCCTTTTCCTCATCCCACCGCTTCTGCTTTGTACGTAATTAGTCCTTATCCATGCATCAGAATCGACCAAAAAATTTATATTAGATTGAGTCTAGGAAATGGCCACTTTTATAGGTCAAAATATTTGTATATAAGCAAGTTCCCATGATTAAACATAAATATACATGCTAACTTTTATAACAAATGTTGCATTAAATCTTATTTCACCTTTGAAGAAACTTTGTAAAATGAGTGTTCACGATCACACGATCACGACCATCCTGTTATTCGTCGATTGCCTTGAGCAGGCCCCAGTAACATCTCCTTCAACCTAGCCCTGAGATTTTTTAAAAAATGCCATATTCAGGGCTCTTTCAGAATTAGGAGAATGAGACCCATCATTGTTACAGGTATTTGGCATATTGGGTACGCCACGGGGAGTTTGCCAGACTCTGCCGTGTGGACAGGCTACATTTGGTAGCCTGCCAGTCTGTCCAAAGTAGGAATGAGATAATAAGATGTTGTGCGGCCGCAAATGTGGCCTTGTGCTTCCGGGAGCTGGGTTTTATAGTCTCTGAGTCTTGGCCACTGATGGGATTACACGGTGCCAGGGGGCCAGTTGGTGGGTGTGACCCCCACCTACTGGAATTTGGAGGATCTGGGTGGAGGATGCTCAGCCCTGATCCGAGTAGGCTTGGAGATCTCAGTCCCAGGACCCACATGCCTTTGTTCCTCTGCCGGTACCTTCATGTGTGCGGAGAGTGGTCTCAGCATGGTGGTGGCTGGTTCTGGAGGTCTTTGGCAGCCGGATCCCTGGTTGAGGCGGGGCAGGAAACTCAACCCGCTTCCCTCCAAGGGGCCGGTGAGGACAGCCAGGCGAGGGGCAGGAGACTCTGTGATTAAAAATGAGTGTTACTACCCTTATTTTCTAGATGAAGAGAGTTGAGGATGAGAAGAATCAGTCACTCAGAGTGTGAAGCCTGGAAGTTATTCCTGCTCTGTCTTCAGTCAGCACCCCTGGGTCCCACCCCTGGGCTAGATGACTACTCTGTATGCACCAAGCATTGACCATCATTTGAATCATTACTTTCTGGCACAAGATCTTTTTTTAAAATTTTTTTTAATAATTTATTTATTTATTGAATCACTGTGGGAAGAGTTACAGAGCTTTCAGGTTTAGGTTTCAGTCATGTAAATATCAAACACATTTCCCTTTACCAATACTTATTTTTACCCGTGAACCCCAATAGAACCCCACCTCCCACCCCTCCCAATTTCTGTGAGGCAGATGAGTTCTAGTTAACACTCTATCTACTTTGACTAGATTTATTGTTTCAATAAAAGATGCACCATTATTATTTAGAGTTTACAACCCCCCCCCCCCCCCAATCAGACATGCTGAAAAAGCATTGTGAAATGATTTGCTTTCTACAGCTGGGTTTAAGAATTAAATGATGTCGCATGGCCGCAATAGCGGCCGCGCAGTTTTGGATTTCTACTATTTTACTTATTAACCCTGGAAGTATTTCTATTAAAAGTTAGATAGTTAAGAGATTGGTTTCTGTGCTCTGGATTCGTGGCCGTGACGGAGAGTCACTCATGGGGGGCAACTGGTGACCTCGGTAGGGCGTGAAGGACGGACCGGAACACCCCCCTTCCCATGAGGTCCCTGCCGCCCCCACCCCCGGCTCAAACCTGCTGTCCACAAGGCTCCCGTGGCACAAGATGTTAATATGCTCAAATACATATTGATCCAATAACATTGATTAAATAAAATTTGTTAAAATAATTTCTAAATTCATTTTAGTGCTTTAGAAATTAGGTATCTTCTTAGCCCAAGAGTGTTTGGAGAAATTTTCCCAAAATGCCAGTCAGAGTTGGCATGCAACATGGATTCAATTTCAACTCCATCCCTACTAATCCTCATGTTCTAAATGCCTTTCTTGGGAAAAGGAGTCTGAAACTTGTACCCTGAATTTATTTGCTGAGATGTGTTCCATGTTTCTAAATGTCTTCCTTTCTAATATGCTACATTTGATAAGGTTTGATCGCATCTCTGCACTGCTTTGCAAGCTCGGACGTTAGCTTGCGGTTGCCTGAGGCATGCGCCAAACCACGCTGGCGAATTAGCTCAAGAGTTTTCGAAGATAGGCGACTTTTTGTGGCTATCTCTCTCTTGGCGTTCCTCGCACATTCATGGAGGTGCTGAACCAGTCGATCGTATTCCTCGTCCATGTTGTCAACAATGGCATCTTCCCATGTTGCCGCAATAGTACCAAAGAGTTCCCAGTTGGTGGTCATTCTGGGAGTTCTCTTTTTGAACTTTGCAGCCCTTTCTCCCCGCTCTGTGAAGTAGAATTTTGCACGAAGGAGACGGTGGTCCGATCCCGTTCGAAATTTTGGGAAAACAGCGACATCAGTCAGGCAAAACCGTCGATTGAATATGATGTGGTCTATTTCGTTGTGGAATCGTCCACCGGGAGACTCCCATGTCCATCGTTTAGATTCTGCCTTCTGGAACTGTGAGTTACCATGGATGGTCTTGGTCGACATGATGAACTCTGACAGTCTCTCACCCTGTTCGTTCCATTCTAGGCCATGGGTCCCGATGTGAAGTTCTTCAGCTGATCTTCTTGGTCCTATCTTGGCATTAAAATCACCCACAATGATCTTGTAGAAGGTGTGGTCTTCTTTATAGAACTTCTCTAGCTCCATGTAGAACTTCTCGATTTCTCTTTCATCATAATGAGATGTTGGTGCGTAGACAACGAAGATAGAAACTGCAGGCAGTGAGCCACATCTATTCAAATGTAAACGTCCGATTCGGGTTGTTAGGCATTCGAATGAATCAATGCTCTTGGCCAAGTTTGTGTTGACAAGGACACCGACGCCTCCAACACCTCTTTTATCGCATGTTCCGAGGAAAATTCTTCTCCAGTGTCGAAAACGGCATGGTGAGATTCGTGCCTTCTTGTCTCGGTCAGACCAATGATGTCGTACTTGATCATTCGCGCTTGTACCATCAGGTCCTCAATGGATGCATCTGATGCTAGCGTACGTGCATTGAAAGTACAGACGATCATTTTTGTCTTCCTTCGTTGTGGCAGCCTAGGTCGGCCTTGAGATTTTGTCGGCCTCTCCTTTCTCATCCTTCTCAGTGCTGCCATGTCGGTGAAGCCTTCAGGGTCAGGTGAATGAGACCAGTTGTAGTTACTGGTTTTGGCATAACGAATACACAGCGGATAGCTTGCCAGGCTCTTCCGTGCGGGTGGAATACTCTCGGTAGCTTGCCAGTCTTTCCGAGAGGGATAGAGGCTTTTGGGGTGACCTCTAATCACCCTTGTAGGTGTTACCATATTTGAACCCTATCAAATATGGTACGACAATTCCGGAAGATGGGTATTTAGTGTCTTATGATGTGTTGCGCGGCCACTTGCAGACAGGGCAGAGTAGGGTGGGGCTCCTGATTAGAATCCCTTTGTCACCTGTGGTGGTGGGAGCAAGCAGAGAAGCTCTGTCCCTGGGTCCGCCAAGCCTGGAGTCCAAGGTCTCAGAGAGTTCCGCTTATCTTGTTCTGTGGGTCTTCAGTTGTGCGTGGGTCTCGGCCGGAGCTGCCGCGCGGGTCCGGAAAGCGTCCTGGACCTCAAAGAGAGAAGAGCAGAAGTACTGGTAGATGCGGCAGAAGCCGGGAAAAGTATTCGTAAGGCCCGCCTGTCCTTCGCCAACTATAAGAGCAAGATGACTGCCTTC